TCGGGTAGCTGCCATACAACTTCAAAATTTATTTGGCTATATCTCAGAAACTATAAAAGTTGTGGTATTGAAATTTCACACAAACGAATATATTAGTAGGGCCAATGTGTCTCATAAAAGTCGTTGAAATTACTTGGCTCCTTCTGGTACCTGCCATACAACTTCAAAAGTTATATGACTATAATTCAGAAGCTGTTGAAGCTATGGTATTGAAATTTCACACAAATGAATATATTAGTAGGGCCAATGTGTCTCATAAAAATCGTTGAAATTACTTGGCTCCTTCTGGTACCTGCTATACAACTTCAAAAGTTATTTGGCTATATCTCAGAAACTATAAAAGCTGTGATATTGAGATTTCACACAAGTGAATATATTAGTAGGGCCGATGTTCTGGTAGCTACCATACAACATCAATAGTAGTTTGGCACAACCAGTATTTTGAAAAACACATAGTACTGAAATTTTGCATAAATTAATATGGTAATACGGCAACTTAAAGTTATAGTCTGCCCCATAGTTAGTTATGGCACATTAGTTATTCGCACATAGGATAACGAATTCGTACGGGTATCACAGAGTTGACAAGGTCAACTCTATTTTTTTCTCGTTTTTAAATATGATAACCAAATGAAAGTATATAATTTTATTAAAACTTTAATTATAATTGTGATGAAAATATTTTAAAGTCAAATTTATATAATTTATTTTTGAGAGTAACCATTGAACTCATCAATAGCTTTTTACAATAACATCAATCACAATTCTCTGATTTTATATTTTAAGAAAAGTCTCACCTTTTTATCTCATCATTTTTTTTTCTCTATATTATTTTAAATTTCTGTGTATTTTTTTATTTGCGTTTCAAAATCATTTCACAAATCACTCAAATGAGAATTGTTTTTCACTTGTAAATCATCTCAAATGAAAAAATTCTCTTTACTTTTTTTGTTGCATTTTTTTTTTTTTTTTTACAAAAGAGTGGTTTTCATGTTGAATTTGGGACGAAAAAAAAAAATTATTTTTATTAAATTAACCATTTTTTTCGGTAACTTTTTGCTTTTGTTTTACTTTTTATTTTCGTAAATTCAATATTATTTAATATTTAATTTTTGAAATAAAGAAAAAGTGAAACAAAAAATTCGTCATTGTTCTTTTTATTATTAACCAAAATCATATAGCTGGAAAGTATACGATAAAAAAAATTTTAATAAAAAAAAAAGGAGAACAGGATGTATAATTTATCCTTTTCGAAGAAGATTTAAAAAAGAAACCGCACATAAAGCATTGTGATCATAAACCAAAATACAATCAAAAAGAAAAAAAATTATAATTGTTATTCTAACCACTTTTTAAATGAAATAAATAACATCGCATCTTCCTTATAATAATTTTACATTTTATTGAAAAAAATTATAAAAACAAAATCTGAAAAACAAGACTTTTTTGTGTTATTGCCATTTTTATTTTGGCGCAACATAGCCGTTAAGAACCTTAATTAATTTTATTTCGTTATTCTTTCACTTTTTCTAAATTAAACAATTTAAAATGTTTTTTCTCTCTCCTGCTTTTTCTTTACTCTACAATATTTCTTTTTTTGTCTTTTTGTTTTGCACTCTATACAAATTTACACGTTATCCTTACATGCCGTTATTTGAATTTTTTTTTTATATATTATTGTCTCTGCTTGTTTTCTTAATAAACGCCTAAAGAAAATGAGAGACAGGGGGGTTAAATATGTTTATTTTAATTTTTTTTTTTGCTTTTTACAAGAAAATATAATACAATCAACCATTGTAAATACACAAATCACGTCTCGTGCAAATATAAAAAGTAGAAAAAGAAAAAAATTGAAAAATAATGAAAAAATGGAAAAAAATGTCACTTTGTATCTTTTTAAAAGGAAATTTTACATATACTTTTCTATATACGAATATTGTTTTTATGTACAAGTTTGAACACCGATATCGAAAACGATATATTAAGTACGATAATAAGTGACATAAAATTGGGCAGCATTGTAGAATTAGATATTAAAATTTAATAAAAGAAAACAAACAAAAATTTTTAAAATTCTCTTATTTTTAAGTCATACACTAATACCTTTTTAAATTTATGTATACCTAAGTGGAAATTGCAGGATTTTGTTTTGGTTTAAAATATACGAGTTTCCACTTAACTACTTACAGTATCAACTATTTAAGTTGAAAAGAACATCATATAGATGTATTATAATTGGACCAGATGTTAGACCAGAATCGAACTTATAAAATGGGTTGGGAATCCGCTGGAAGCCTTGTATGTATTTAAATTTAAAAAATGAATTTTAAATTGCAGAAAGAGGTATACCACAATTTGTTATACGTTCTAGATAAAGTACATTTTAGTAAAAGTATTACATTTGTTATACTTATTATTATGTCACATATACTTTGACTGATTTCTTTAATATTTCTTAACATAATTTTAAGAAAATATAAAAAATTTTTGATATAAAATTTCATATTTAATTACCAAAATGATATTCGCCAGTTTATATTTATTAAAAAATATTAAGTGAAATATTGAATTTTTTGGCGTACACTTCATAAAACTTATATTGACGTCACTTTGTCATCTTTTAAAAAATATGATTGATAAAGTACGCAATAACAAAAGCTAAAATAACTAAAGGAAATTTTGACTCCTAAACAAAAATTCTATTAAACATTGTTTTTTTTTTATAAATACTGAAATGGAGTGAGCGAGAAAAAAATAGAAAAAGAAAATAAATAAATTGAATAAGTTATTCATTTTTCAAGGGCAATATAAATGAGCATTGAAATATGGTGGTACTTAAGAAGAAAATGTGAATAAAGAAGAAATTTCTTTTTATATACAAAAAAAAACAATTTTATGATATTTGAAAAATTTTTTTTAAAAAGTTATTTGATGCTTATAAAACGGTACCTATACTCGTATGTACGTTTGCAAGTGTATTGGGTCATTGCTTACATTTCAAATAATATGAGGAATTGTATAATTTAATTGAATACTTTATTTCATTCACGGTAGCACTGTTAATTAAAATTAACGACGTTTCTATTATTACTCGATAGATGCCTCTCATTGTTAATTACTTAAACGCAAAAGCAAATCATTTACGCTTTAGTTTACCAAGGGTTTACATAGTCTAAATTATTGGCAAGAATGTTGCAATACACACGAAAATTTTATTAATATGAATACTGAAATATTTCAACTTATCTGAATCTGTTCAACTGGTAACAACATTTTGCTATCAGTAAGTGAATTATGTCATTTGGTATTTCGGAAAAAAAGAAACAGTTAGTTCATAAAAGTTTTTTGCTTTGAAAGTAATTTGCCTATACAAATGATTGGTTAGTAGGCTAATTTAATATTTTCTTAGTAGGTTTTTAAAGAAATTTGTGTCAGTTGTAAAAAATTTTTTATTGAATTTGGTTAATTTTTTTTTGTGTTTTAAATATTACAATATTTTAAAAAAAAATTAATAGATTACACAACGCTTTTTTTAATTGAAGTCAGAGTTCGTGTATTGGTTTTGAAATAATAATTACAGAACTAAGAGAAAATGAATATAAAAATCAAGCGGTAATCTTGGAGCTTCCAATGAGTTGGTACATTTGCTTTTATGAGTTTCGTGTTCAAGTCGGTTACTGCTACGAAATCTGGGATAATTTACATTTAAATTTGAAGACTTACAGAAGTTTAGCATAAATTTTGCATACAAAATTATAGATTTGAAAAAAAGAAGCGGAAGTTCTAGAGCTTTCTCATGAACTTTACATACATATGTCGGAATCGGTGATGGAATAATTCGGAATAATTTACATTTGAAGTTCTAAATTTAATGATCTTTAAAATAAAATGTGGAGTTCTGGAGTTTCCAAAATTTTTGTACCTAAGTATCTAGGTATATTCACACACATATGTAGTTACATACATTTGGAAATTTTTGGAATTGATAATTGGTAATTAAAATGTGGATATATTATATTGATTGAATCTGGTTGGATTTCATTTATAACTTGAATAAAGGTGCTGCTTACCTACATATGTACATACTTGTTTGGAAAATACATTTTATTTTATGGAAGCAAATAATGATTTTAGGCAGAACTATCATTGAAAGTACATAGAAAATTAGGAACTGGTCACCTACTAAAAATATGGAGAAGTTTTAACATTATGTATTTATCGAAACTTCATTATGTAATCTAAGTTTGAACAAGTCTTTGGTTATTTCAAAATGATTGCAAGGGAATTGGAAGGGATTTTTAAATTCAATTCCATAGTAGCTTCAATTTCAAAATGTATTAAAAAATTTCAACAAAATGCGGAAATTTTTGTAAAATTTTAAAAGTTTGGTAAATTAAATTTTCCCGTTATAATATATTAAACTAAATATATGTACGCTATAATATTATTTAAAGTGCCCTACAGGATATTTAACACAAATTTCTATTCAGAATGAAAATTATAGCTAATATTTTTCATTGTTTAATATTCCATTGACCTTGACTCCCTTTGATTCAATAGCTGTTTAATATTTTTCCAGTAGAATAATTCGACGAACAGCAAGTTATCGATTTGTAAATAATTTATTTATGAAAGAAGAGAATATGCTTAAAAAACTCAAATGTTCTTTTTGAATCTATAACATTTTTATTATTAAAAATTTTTGTGACACAATCGCACATTCTTTTACGATTCATTGTTTTTTCCTATATAAACTTGAATCAAAATAAACATAAATCAATATTTGTTTTATGAAAATTCTCTACAATTTGTTCTCATCTATATTTCAATCAATCTTCTTATATATTTTTTATGTACATATTGTACGATATTTTTATATTATTTCTAATATTTGTACAAAATATAAATACGACAAAAAAAATCTGAACTAAATTCAATATGAAATTTAATAAATAGCTAATAGAAAAATGCAATTTAATTTTATTCTTTTTTTTTTGCAGAATATTTGGGGGATTTCGAAATGAATCATCATCAAATCAAATAGATGATAATTGTAATAATGCAGAAAATGGAGCAACTGATATTAATGAAAAAAGAAATGAAAGAAATGGAAATCGTGCAAGTACAAGAGATTCATCTTTACGACAACGTGCTGTAGCAAAATTACGTATGTTTAATTTTCATTTAAATTGGGATCTGCATATGACTCAGTGTAAACCATGTGTGTAAGTTAAATTTATTTACATATAATAATAACAACAATAGTATAAAAGAACAAGTAAAAAGGTTTCAGTCGGTATAAACCGATTGAATTATACCCTGCACCTTTCGTTATTGTGTAGCAATTACTCGAACCTGTGAAGTCATTCTTCTTCACGGATATGTCTGACCTATAATTGGACATCCGACTGCCAAGTTTCATGAATCTGACTTTAAAATTTTTCCAAATATTTAAAATTAGCTTTTGGAGGTGTATGGCAAGTACCTGAACCTGTCAAACAATTCCATCAAAACTTCACAAATATATCTGAACTATAATCGGACACACAACTGCCAAGTTTCATGGATCTGACTTTATTATTTTTCCAAATATTAAGAATAAGCTTTAAGACTTGCATGGGAGCTACTCGAACCTGTCAAGCAATCCCATTAAAACTTTAGAAATATGTCTGACCTATAATTGGACACACGACTGCCAAGTCTCATGAATCTGACTTTATTATTTTTCCAAATTTTTAAAATAAGCTTTTAGACTTGCATGGGAGCTACTCGAACCCGTCAAGCAATTCCACTAAAACTTCAGAAATATATCTGACCTATAACTCGACACAAAACTGCCAAGTTTCATGAATCTGACTTTATTATTTTTCCAAATATTTAAAATTAGCTTCTGGAGTTGTATGGCAGGTACCCGAACCTGTCAAGCAATTCCTCTAAAACTTCACAAATATATCTGATCTATAATCGGACATCCAACTGCCAAGTTTCATGAATCTGACTTTATTATTTTCCCAAATATTTAAAATTAGCTTCTGGAGTTGTATGGCAGGTACCCGAACCTGTAAAGCAATTCCTCTAAAACTTCAGAAGTATATTTGACCTATAATTGGACACATGACTGCCAAGTTTCATGAATCTGACTTTATTATTTTGCCGAATATAAAAAATTTGCTGTTGGAGTTGTATGGCAGCCACCCGAACCGGTGCAGCTATCCCATTATAATTTCTAGAGCATGTGTAGAATATAATTGGACACATGTATACAAAATTTTATATTTATAGCTTTTTTAATTTTTGAAATATTTAAAATAAACTCTTTGAGTTGTATGGCAGCTACCCGAACCCGTTGTCCGAATTAGTCCAATAACAATAGGGCTCGTCCTTGGCACAAAAGAAAAAACTTGTGAAAGTTTGGTGTCGATTGCATTATTCGTTTTTGAGTTATCGTGCGATCGGACGGACGGACGGACGGACGGACGGACGGACGGACGGACGGACGGACGGACGGACGGACGGACGGACAGACGGACATGTCTAAATCGACGCAGAATTTTACGCTGAGCAAGAATATATATATATGTCCATACCGCAGATGACTCCTTCAAGTAGTTACAAACTCCATACCAAAGTTAATATACCCTTCACGAAGTGCAGGGTATAAAAAAAGGATAAAAGAAAACCCAATAAAAAAGGAAAAAGCGGATTACCATAACAAATTTTTAGGGTTTTCTTTTTCTTTTATATATATTTTTATGAAAATACTGAACCAACAAAATTATTTGCTTATCCTTTAAATTATTAAAGATGAATTAAACTTTTGGTTTTGTAGGACGCGAAATCTTTTATTCAGATTTCAAATTTTCACTTAAATAAGATGCGTATATCGTTACATACATCTATAAATTAAAAGACTATCTTAAAAGGATTCTTTTTTTATGATACCAGCAATTTTCTTGATTCGTCAGCCAAGAAAATCTACGGATTATTGTAGCTCCAGTTTGAAGCTTCAGATTCCACAGAGGTCGCATAAGCAACTAGATGTCAGAACTTAACCTGTTTTGTATAGTAAATGTTATTCTTTACCGTTAAATTTATTGAAGCATTTAATTTACGAGGAAAATCTTGAGGAATCATTTAAATTCTTGCATTGCCACTTAAAAATTCATGAATATTTTATACAATTAAGCAACTGAAACTTGTATATTTTCAGTATTTTTAAATATTTTTATCATAATTTCGTTAAGTTACAATAGTTCCTATATACCCACCGTACCATTTATTTAATGCTTGTAAATTATATTACGACACTTTTATATTTATTTGTTCAACAGTAAATTTCGATGTCTTCTTTTTCAGTTTTTTTTCCTTTTTTTTCAAAACAAATTTACAAAAGTAGTTGTTTTATTTCCGCTATAAAAAAAATGTATATATATATACATTTTATTATTCCATACAATACAATTTAGTTCATTTTCTCCATTCTGATTGTAATAAGCGCACGCCACACACACGGTAAAATAAGGAAAAAAACGGATAAAAAAATGTTAAAATGACAAAAAAAAATTGTTAAAAGGAAGACTTAAATTCAACATGTATTTTTTACAAGTATCCTTTTTCTAAATTGATATTCGTATAATATTTTTGTAGTTATATATATCCATATATAGATGAGTGTGTGTGTGTGTGTATGCATATTGTATAGATATTACATTTTCAATTTCAATATGTTCATATGCGGTGGTATAAAATTTGATGTGCATTTCTATATAAAAGCTTACATGGTCTTGTATATACTTATGTACATATAAATATTTACTTTGGTAGGCGCTAGCTATACCTAAAAATATAAAATAAAAAAAAAAAACAAAATGAAAAGGAAAAATAAAAATGCTTTTATAAAGTTTGTTGCGACTTCGTGCTGTATAATGTGGAGTATCGTTTCGTTTACACAAAAGTGAAGTTACATATACCCTTAGAATATGATTATGTACATTCAAATTATTTTGTTGAATGTATTCCAATTTTATTTTTTATTTAGATTTTCCTTTATTAGTTTCGTGTTGAGCCCATACACAAACATATATGCATTAGTTTGTATTTATTTATTTATAAGTCTTAACGTAAATTTGTGGTATCTTAAAAATTTGTATGCGATTAGATGATTACGTAAAAGGGTTTTTAAAATGACAAGTAGCATAAAAATGATATGTTGTTTAATGTATTTTTTGTGTGCTTTTCTCATAAACTGATAACTTGAATATATTTAAATATTTTAATAATGTGGTTATTGCTGCGGTTCTGGTGTACTCTTCGGAGGTAGTTTATTTGGATAGTATTTGAAGATATTAAAAATGTTTTTCCTTGTAGCAAAAATGTGCCTAACGGGTCTTTTATTTTCTCCCAGCGAGGCGAACTGTAGGATGTCCTTTAAGCTACTAACCGATCACAAGGTTGTGTGTTTGGTGAGTCTTAACTTGCCAATTTATGTGGAAAATAAGAATAAATTCTAATGGAGTGGTGTCCTATCTATTTTTTTTTTACTTATTTCTAACCTCTTAGGTTAAAATAAATATAGAGTTGATTTTTTCTTACGACTTACATAAGAAAAGTCGTTCTATAGAATCTTGAGCATTTTTTTTTATAAATAATGTGGTCTTTGCAAAAAATTTGAATGTTTCGTGCAGTGTAATATAAACAGTTCGTATATGGGTATAAAAATTTGAATACACGCTGTAAATTTTTATTTTATATCGAAATTTGTAATATTTTAATGCATAATAAGTACATATCTATTTAATACATAGATACACTTAAAACATAGTATGTACATACATACATATTAAATGTATATTCACATTCGAAAGTTTATATTAAGAAAATGTCATATGATTTTTTTTTATTTCTATAAAAAAATAGCAAAAACAAAAATAAATAAAATTTGTATTTGATCCTTAGGTTCATATTGTGACATGTTTGGAAATTTCTTTCACATTTTTATTCACTATTTTATGTATGTATAGTAATTGTAACAAATATTGTTATAAAATGTACATATATATAGTAAAACAAGGGATATGGCGCCCATGTCATATACATCATGAATCGTTTTCTCCTATATACATCCATCTATACATAAGTTAAATTTCAAATTATTTTCTTGTATTATTTGAACTTGGATTATAATTTTTTCTTTTTGTTTTTTTTTTTTTTTTGATATTTTAAGGATTTTGTTTTATTGTCCTGCTTTTTTCTTTTCAAATACATTCTGATACAAAATTCTTAAATGCTTAAAATTCAGTTTTTGTTATAAATGAAAAATTTTCGTTACATTGTATAAAATATAGGAGAAATATTTGCAATATGTCATACATAATGTATTAATATCGTGCACAAGCATCATATTATTATACGGTATACCAATTTGTATGTATATATAAATATATTATTTGAAATTCTTATAACTTTAGGGATCATGTACGATATTTGTAATGTAAGGAAAGGAAATAGTGAATCTATTATATAAGCATATTTTTGTATACATTGTATGTGTACATTTTTGTATAATATTAAATTTTATATTAAGGAGAAATATTCTAAAAACGTTTTTTATATAAAGATATAAAATTATACTTATGTAAATAATGGTAGAGTTGTAACATATACATGTATCTGTACAAAAAAAAGGATATTTTCGTATTAGGTTAAAAGGAAAATATATCAATTTTATTTTAATTTTTTTTTTCTTTTTAGTAAATTTCTAACAAAATTAGAGAAAACTGTGCTCATTCTATTCGTCTGTTCGCTCGGCTGTCCGTTCGTGTTACAGTTTACAAAACTTTATCATGATTCAAAGCTGTAATTTTGAATGGAATTTTTCGATAATTTATTGTGTTGAAATCATCCACCAAAAAAAAATTTGTAAACGCTGGAAAATAGCTTTCTTTGTAGCAGTATGGACAACGTTGTAGTGACAAAATGGCTTTTGGAATTAATCAATTTCGACATCTCTTAGTCAATTTTTGAAATTTTGTTAGTAATTTTTTGACATTTCTTAACATTAAGTTTTAAAAGTTTACAATTTTAACTGCACTTAGAAATTATTATGTAATTATAGTTTATTTTGCTGTAACAGCATTTTTCCAAGCTATTGCCTCTCTTCTTCTCGGAATTATAGCCTCTTAGAAATACTAAAACATAAGATTTTGGAAGCAGAATAAGATTTTTT